CCATCAATAGTAAGTTCAAAGGTGAGAAATTTACACAAGGATGACTTGTTTTTTAGAATTCGTTGTCCTTGTTTTTATTTTTTGCCATACTTATATTGTGTATTATTTATAAATACTCTTACCAGAGCGCGGGACTCCGGTTCCTGGGGTCCCGGGTTCAAATCCCGCCATATCACCAATGGATTTTACTGTTCATATATTAAAACTTAAATCATGAGTAGTACTGTATATGTTTTTGAAAATGTTTCTTAAGATTTAATCCTTTAAAAGAATGATAAACGCACTTTGGCGGTCAGAAGATGATTGTTGACCATTTACACTTTTTACTCGAAGTTTCTTTGGGCAAACAGATCAAATATAGTTCAATATGATATTAAAAAATCAAGAATTTGATTGCCAAGAAACTGTTTTACTTTTTATGTTTGTAATTTAATTGTAACGGCTGTTGGTGTAAACAAAGTTAGAACGGCTTTGAATTTTTTCTTAACTTTGGCTATTTAAAATCACCTGCCTAGCACATAAATGCCTTAAAACTAGTAAAAACTGATATTAAAAAATCGAGAAAACTATGAAAAATGCAAGTTTAAAATGTATTTCACCACCCGAATAAAAATTTTAATTTTAACCTATAATTAGCAGGATTGTATTATAAACTGAAAAAATTAAAAATAAACTTTATTGTAATTATTTTTCTAAATACCACTTTTAAATATAGGTAAATATATATTTTTTATTTCGATAAACTCTTAAGGAACACGAATAAATTGTTAATTTGTGTAGATACATCATATTTTTTTCAAAAACGTAATTAAAGTAATCATATGTTCAAAGTCCAGGCCAATTCTTTCAACTTTGATCTTCAATAATAAATAATAAATAATAAATAATAGTTTTTATATGAATGATTGACACCGTTCGATAGGAAATTTAATTTACTTTAAGAATGCCATCGGTGAATAACACAGGTGTTTTAGTTTAGCGGCAATTTTAATTCGAAACAGCGCGCGTCGCGTTTTTCCCTATCTCTCCCATGTTATAGCAGCGGCTTTTTGCCACTCTACGGCTCCGCGTGCCCCTCTAGTGTTCTGCTAAAGCTGGCTTCACCGCAACATGTGTATTCCTATTCGAGTGCCCTCTCCTTAATGTTTAATCCTCCTAGGGTACCACCCGGGGCGGTGGGGCACACGGGAGGGACTAAGGCTAACATATCTTGTAGTGTCAGCGTTCGCCGCTAGGACTGCTAAGTTGAAAAAATTTAAATTAATTTTTAATTTTTTGTTATAAAATTAACTTTGTAATTATTAAATTAAAATTACAAAATAAATTTTTAATTTTTAAAATTATATTGTCATAACATAAACTAACCAACCAGACTTGCTGATAATATAAAAACTATATAAGATAAAAATCTAATTAATGATAACTTATAATTTTTAATTAATTATAAAATTAATTTTAAAATTTAGTATTATAAAATTAAGCTGTCATAACCTAACCTAACCAACCAAACTTGCTGATATGAAAAATTTGTTGATAAAAAATTAATGCCACCGGCGGGTTTCGAACCCCGGACCTCCTGAACATCAATCAGAAACGCTACCAACTATGCCACGAACGCCGCTGAAATCACATCGTTTCGTTACGGTAATCGTGTCGCCTCAAGAGAAGACATTAACCACTAGAGATATGACGTCACTACACCTTTAGCCTTAGTCCCTTCCGTGTGCCCATTCCCCACCCGGTGCAAGCGGGCAAGAGTACGGGTCTGACTTAGGGGAGGTACGAATGAGGCATTTAGTTCAAAATTCCTCCGTGAACAGCGCTGTAGTAGAGATAACTTTGGCAATGAAGGTTTACTAATCGCAAAAATAGTTCTGTTAATAAAATAAAATTATAAATGTCTCAAATTCAATTTTATTATTTTTTAATTATAAAATTAAACTATCATAACCTAACCGAACTAACCAAACTTGCTGATAAAGAAATAATATAACAAAAGTTTAGTAATCGGAAAAATAATTCTGTTTATTAAATAGAACTAGAATTTGCTCAATTAAAATTTTATAATGACTTAATAATAAAATTAAACTGTAATAACCGAACCAAACCAACCAAACTTGCTGATAATAAAAAAATCTTGGACAAAAAGTTAATGTTATCAGCGGGATTCGAACCCGGGACATACAGTATATCAGCCCGGCACGCTAACCAATAGACCACCGAGGCCGATGGCTACCGATCGTTTTGTTACGGTAATGGCGTTCCCTCAGCTAATAAAAAGCCCACAGCTGTCATCGTAGCCTCTTCTATACCTCCCCTGAGTAAATACCGCAAGAGTACCAGTACAATTAATTACAATATGTTCCCAGAACGCGCCCTGCCAGCTGCCTTGATTTGAAGCGAAGAAGCAGAAGGCACTGAAGGCCAGTGTTGCCAATTGCGGGGAAAATCCTCGTTTTTCGAGGATTTCCAGACCCTGCGAGGATTTATGCGAGGATTCAGATTTTGCGAGTATTTTCGAGGATTTTCAGGTAAAGCACCTAGGATTTTTCTGATAATCGAGTATTCTCAGTGACTGGGTCTCTTTAAAAATATATTGAAAATCCCTCTGAATCTAAGCATTGAAAGAACGGCGTCCACAACTGAAAAAAGTCAATCAATCAACCAATCAAGATCTAAGAACGAACAAGTAGATGAAGAAGAAGACAATGAAATTAGCGTGAACTTAGAACTGAACTAACTGCCAAACTGGAAACTGGACTGAAGTGAAGTGAAGTACAGTAATGCTATGCTCAGCTCCAGCTGTCGCTGTCAGCTCAGCTGAGCTGTATGGTATAAGCCTGCAATTAATTATGAAGTGAATGAGAATTCGAATTGAACTATTTAGGATATGACTGGGGCCGATATGTGTTAAACAACAAACTACTACACCTTTTTAGCTTTTTCACCTGGGGCCCTATTTTTGAAATGGTTGACTGTTGAGTTGAGTGTCGAGTCATTCTATTTCCAATCGTTTCGTATTTTTGAAACGATTGACGGTGGACTTATACAACCAAAACTACCCAACACCTATGAGCTGTTGAGTGGAGGTTGACTGCACTTTCTTCTTCCTCTCTTTCGGCTTTAATTTACTAATTGCGATTTAGAGGTTATGTATTTGTTGTCAATGTCTTAGCAAACAATACTTTATGCGATTGTTAATTTTATTTACTTTGTCAATACTAGTCTATTTAATCTATTTACTTTGTTATAAGACTATTTAATTTGTTTGAAATACACTAGGCATACTAATTGAACTTATTAAAAGATAATTATTGTTATTAGACCTATGATTTAAGGTATTAAAGATTGTGGTAGAGAGGAACAATATCATAGTTTGTTTCAATACCATTCGCCTAATAAAGGGATCAAATTAATTCAAGTTACGATAAGCTTTCAGTGCAATGGCAAATAGGCCTAGCCATAAGCTTTAACCTAAATAAAAACACAATTAAAAATAACATGAAACAAAACGATGAAGAAAACTAAAATAAGGTGATGTGTTCTGAAATAGATACGAAGAAAGCAAAAATAATAATGTATTTAGGATATGCCTAAACTTATAATGAGCTACACCATAAAACAAACAAACATCCATAGTAAATTTTATTGTTAATAGTATAAGTTTATATAAGGTACTTTTGCGGCAATCACTAAGATTAAGCAAGACATAACCTCAATCCCTCAAGAACGGAGTTGACAGTTTCTCGAAATATGTTAGATTGAGATTAGCTGATCCAGATTTTAGAGTAAGAAGAGGTAAAATCGAAGATCACAAAAACTCTGCATTGTGATTGGTTTAAAATGACGTCATCTGAATTTCGGGCGGTCGTATGCTCTACATTTCCAAAACGAGTCACTCAACTACTGATTTCCAACTCACTTCCAAACTGTTGGATTTCAAAAATACCAAATCCTGTCGTTGGTTGAGTTGAGTGTTGACTGTAGAGTCAACTGTCAACCATTTCAAAAATAGGGCCCCTGTACAGAAACTTGTCGTTTGTTGGTTGCCTTCAATTCAAATTTCATTTCACTTAGGCCTACGTAGTAGAAGAACCTAACAATCTACGATTTATTACTTAGCTGTTCATGCTGATTGGGCTTTAAATCAATTGTCCTGGCTAATGAAATAGCTTATCTTAGTCAATAACAAAGTTACACAGATCATCTCACACCATTCTACACTCATCTTTCACTCAAATTTGGGTAAAAATACGTACATAAGTGGCGACCCCATCTCAATAATTTATAATTTGTTAATTTTCAAAGTTAATAACAAATATATTATTATCAATGCAGGTATAAGTATTATATAATGTATTTTTTCATGTACCGTATAAACACAGGGTTTTTTTCTTATTTGTATAGTACAGTATTAAGAAACGGCCACCTATAAGGTGTGATTAAGAGCTTACCTGAATTATTATACCCTAAAATAAAAATAAATAGTTTATGATTTAATAAAAAATTTCGACGTCGACATCAGCACACCCACAAATTAACCAAGATGAACTACTTATTCAGATTTGACAAGGGTCAGGGTTCAGGGATGGAAAACCTATTTTTACCATTGGCTATATATAATGAATAATGCATGCGTTAAATCAAAGATAGGCTTAAATATATTCCATTGTGTTGATTGGTCTATATGGCTAGACCAATACCCGCCAATACTCATACTATTTACCAGAGCCCCTAATTTTTAAAGTACAATAGGTTATATGCATGTATGTTTGGTTATTTGCACCTCTAGTAAAAAAAGGAATACGTGGACACGTATATTATCATGTAAATATGGGGACATTTCATATTATTTCAATCTTGGATGCTATCGAGGATTTTGCGAGTAATTTTAGAATCCTTGCGAGGAAAATCGAGGATTTCCGTCGTTTCATGCGGGGAAAACCAAAGAGGTCGGTTGGCAACACTGCTGAAGGCAGAAGCAGAACAGAAAGCAGAAAGCAGAAGGTTCATTTTAAAAATGGCACCCTCTACATGTTTAGATAAAGATACTGAGAAACAGATTTTTGATTGCATTACCAAAAATAATGTTTCTGAGTTAAAAGTGCTTTTAAAAAACTTCTATGGTGATATTTACGACGAACATGGAATGACACCTTTGCAACATGCAGCTTATAAAGGAAATAAAGAAATCGTTCAATTCCTTCTGGATCAGGTTAGGCCTTTTTGTTATTCATAATAAATTGTCCTTATTAAGCAAGTTGCCCTTATTTTACTGGTAGCAAAGCAAGGTTATTCTTTGTGTGAAGGCCTATTCGCTTACGGTTGTAAGCATGTATTTTAACCAAAGCCTATGGTGTAAGGTAAATTTATCAACTAAGTTAATTGAGTACTGTACTAAGTTATACCTACGTATTAGTGTTTTCATAGAGCTCAAGGGCTTGAGTTTTTAGGATTTTTTTGTGAGGGAGGATAGTAGGATTATTTAGCTGAATGGGAAAGAGACCAAACTGGCACAATAAAGCACTTTCAATGGGTACAGTTTCTTAACTGGGCTATGCTAATACCTATCGATTGAAACTATCGATTCAATTAGTAAACCTTCATGCAATTTTTTCACCATCAGCAAGTTTGGTTGGTTAGGATAGGTTATGATAGTTTAATTTGATAACAAATATATTTAAAAATATTGATTATTAATCAATCTTTTCGGCAAATATTTACCGTATTTACACTGGGATATGATGTAATTTTGATAAGTTATGTCTACTAACAGTATTTTTAACGCTGAATCCAAAAATGCAATAAGTTTTTGTCGGAGAGATTCCTAAGTGGCCGTAAAACGAAGGTTAGGATTACGAATCTAAGGATAATTGAGCAGTGCGGTTGCGGTACTGTACTGAAGGTAATATTTGGTAATATGGCGTGGTCTGGACGGGTCCGTACTGAGTGAAGAGTGAGGAGTGAGGACTGAGTGAGAAGAGCAAACAACTGTTTATACTTGATCTAATGCGGAATGAAGTCAAATCAATTCGTTTTGAAACCAAATAATCAGTTCAGTTCTTATTTAGGCATGTGAGAAAGGTAGGTTGGGTTTTATGCGGATTCGTGACTGTATTAAGTGTTTTGAAGTGAGGTTAGATTAGGAAGGGTAAAGGTTAGGTTATAATGAACCGACTCATTAATTTTATGCAACTTCCAGACTGAATTCCTTTTATGAATAATTTTATGAACTTCCACAATGAAATAACGATATCAAAAATGCTTGCGCATTTTTGATATTGTTATTTCATTGTGTTTCACCCACTATTTCAATTGTGCAAAAACAGTCTGGAAGTTGCATAAATTAATGAGTCTGTTCATTATAACCTAACCTTTAACATACCTAATCTAACCTCACTTCAAAGGACAGTCACGAATCTGCATAAAGTCTGACCTATCTTCCTCACATGCCTTTTCTGACATAAAATGCGATTTAAACATTAATATTAAGGTTGGGTTGGATTAGATTAGATTAAGTAACATCATTTATTAGTTGCTGATACATTAAATTATGCACTGTGGCACGTTTTCACTTTTAGACACTATGGGATTATGCACTGTGGCACGTTCATTACCAGACGTTGAGGCATTAGTCAATGATTGAGGATTGGAATGAGGACGATGATCATGTCATCAGTGGCCTAGCTTCTATTACTGATATTTTACGTTCGAATAAATTCTATTTTGTTTTATAATTTATGTTCATGTGATTAATAGTTTATGTATGGTAGTTGATTTATTGTATTTTATGAACAGCACCAAAGTCCATTTTCTTTTTAAAATCTAGTTATTGAACATTGTAACTCTGATTTTGCTCTCATGGCGTCGTGTGTGGTTTTGTATGTTTAGTATAGAATGTAAATAACTTACAGCTGTTTGCACTCCACAAACCTTCCACCCCTTTTAGTGTTAGTCGCCACTAGAACTTGGACTCGTCCATACCATAAATATGTTAGTAAATCAACAAAACTGAAGCTTAATATTAATTATATAACTGTACGGCTACTTAGGAATCTCCCCGAAAAAAACTGATTGCATTTTTGGATTCAGCGTTAAAAATACTGTAAGTAGACATATCAAAATTACATCAAATCCCAGTGTAAATAGGGTAAATAATTACCATATTTTCAATTCGATAGTTTCAATCGATATTAGCATAGCCCAGTTAAGTTAGCAAATGGAATTTTGAAACGGTAACTTAGCCTACAGCAAGATTGGTTAGTTAGTATGTTAGGTTAGTTTAGAATAGTTTCATTTCTTAATCCATACAGGTAGTTCTCAATTCGTAGTTTAAATGCGTTTGAATATTTTAAACATAAGCTAAGGAATATGAATCGTCAAGGAAAACAAAAATATCGATATATCGAAAAGAAATCATCGATAATAATGAATGTTCCCTTTAACAGGAAAGTACCGATTTTTTTTACCTTGAAGCAGTTAAAGGTATGGTGGACTAAACTTATCTTTTGCGATGAAATTACTTGTCTGTAGTGTGATCATGTGTTCATACCATACCATTGAAGTATATAACACAACTGGAACACTGGGTAGATAGGAGACGACGTGGGATAAAAAGCGCGCCGTTTCGGCAACCTTCGCCCACTACTATGTGGGACCCAATGCAGATAGGCTATGTCAGTTCCTCAAGCCGTGCACGCGGTTGTTAATACGCTCCTGGCCGTGCATACAAAAGGTTGACTGCAATTAAAGTTATATATTCGGAATCTGCATTAACTGCAGAATCTGACAGTATAAATATGTGATATTTGTTTAACATTTTTAGTTGTTAAAAATTGAATTACGATTTAAATAAGATTATCTTATTTAAATCAATCTTATTTAAATCGTAATTCGTTTCGTATTTAAATCGTAATTCGAATTTTAACAACTAAAAATGTTAAACAAATATCACACCTTGACATGAAAAAGTTATTAAGTGAGGATTTTTTAAAATTTATTGGTCAGAAGCAAACTTTAAGCGACAAAATTGTAGCTAATGAGATGATCTTCCAGCATAACCAAGCAATTTCAAATAGCATTTTCTAGTCGTGTGTAATGGAGTAAAGTAACGCAAAGAGGTTATTTATAAATCGCCCTGCGGGCCGTTCTCCCTGGTTCCGCTGATCTTTACGTTTACGGTACTCCCAGAAACGTTTTGAGTACAACCAATAGTTATATTAAATAAATTTTCATTACAGGTAACACATAACTAAATACTGTATAAGGCCTATCACCTTCTAGGTAAACTATTTACATACCGTACAATGTTACCGTAAATTAAAATATAAAATGTAGACTATATGTACAGGGACAGGGACTGGTAATCCCCCTTTGTTTAAATGTAACAAGGGATCAAGTATTATCCGCTTTGTTTGGTAATTAATGAGAAATTTCAAATATTAAGGCTCAGAGCAAATAATTGATAAGGTCATAAATAGGAAGTATATAGCTTAAAGGCAATAACAAAAATTGAATAATAAATTTACAAATTGAATTGTTAGTCGTGTTCCTTTGACAATATGAGTATTTGTATAATGTTGCAAAGACACAATTAGTAAAAAAGTGTTTTGTTTTGAGTGTCATTGTTATTCCTTAGTGATGTAAAATTCCCGGGAATTTAATATCGAGGAAATATTCCCGGGAATTTATTTTTAATTAGCAAGGTAGGTTTAAAAACTGTTACTTAATAGGTAAAAGCCATAATTATAAGGTTAAATCAACCACAAAAATTGAAATATATTATAATACAGAGTTTGAATTGAAATAAATAACTGGGAATTTATAATTTTATATGCTAAATTGCTCAAATCAGTCACTGTGGTAGTTTGTTTTAAATAAAACACAATCTATATTCCTAAAGTGTTGATTTAATACAACTAGTGGACCTGTTGCTTGAATTCGAGCTATTACAGGCGTTATTTTAAAACAAATAACAGTCATAATTTCTGATGACTTTAAAAGATTCGACTCAATAATTGTAGAGTGGAAATGAAAACCGGGCTAAGTGCCAAAAAATAAAAAAATGAGTTAAGTGTCAAAATGTGTGCTATCTGCCAAGCCCAATACGTTAAAAAGCGGGTTATCTCCAAAACAATAGCTCCAAGACGTTTAAACAGTGGCCGCTAGAATGCGCATGGGTCAACTTCATCAGCTGAGGAAATGAAAACCGGGCTATGTGCCAAGCGTCTTTACAACCCATTTTGAGGCTATGCAATGTTCCGGCAGTTTTGGTAGAGGTGTTCACGTGAGTTTATACTTAAAATGGGCGATACAGAGTTAGTAGAAGTTAATCCTAAGAAGAGACGTCCTAAAAAAACATTCAGTGCTTTGGAGCCATGTAAAAAATCAAAGTTTTAAAGAAAATGTGCAGCTAGAGGCTCTGAAACACCTACCACAAGTCCTTGAATGCTATAAACAAAATGAAAAAAGAGAAGAAATATGAACTTAAGAATATGATACCATTTCTGAAGGAAGAATATGTAAACACTGTTACAGAGAGTTAACTGTTAAATTTTTATACCTAAAACCAACACATTTGTCGTTTACCCTTTCATGTTTTTTACGGGTCTTGTGATGTTTTATGATAATAAAACTTGATTTCAATATTATTTTGTTTAATTTATATTTTACCCGTCTGAAATGTTAAAATATTTAGAATCTTTTATGTTTACTAACTCTGCACATAGCCCGTTTTATGGTTTTGAAGTATAGGTACTTAGCTCGCTTTTCACCACTATGATTATGGACATACCCCTTGTCTCAAATGTGTAACTTTAAAAATTTATAAATTCTATTAGTGACTTTTAAAAAGAGTTGTTTCATAAAATTATGATTACTCATCTTTTGTTGTAGCTACTGTAAATAATCTGGTATAAAAAAAATTACAGTAATGGTTTTATTGATATTTTATGCAATAACTCAAAAAGATGTTTTTGGCACTTAACCCGGTTTTCATTTCCACTCTACAATTATGGAAATACTCAAGATGTACATAACAGATCGATATAATCAACATTTGTTTTAAATAGGCTATCTTATCATTTTTCAAAAACTGATATTGTTTTTAGCATTTTCTACAAATAGCCTTACTCATAGCCCCATTAGGTTGTCCATAATAACGATTATAAATTCTAAAAAAAACATTTTTTCTATTTCTTCTTCTTGGTGGTGTTCTATGACTTTCCTATGTTTCCATAGTTTGCAAATTAGCTCTTTCAATGATTAGTAAGAAATGCACCACAGTGTTAATTCAGTTTTCTCTTTAGTATATCAAATTATCCAGGCTCTCTCGCTTTTTCCCATTGTAATATTTACGCCAACCCAAATTCAAATAGGCCTAGAAAATATTTCATTTAATCCAAGTCAGTAAATGTTTGTAGCAACCTGTTAAATTAGCAAACTTATTGACTGTTTACAATTAAAATATGTTATTCTTCTCACTTTTAATTTCTGACAACAGCTGGAGTTTCATAACAATGTTTGTTTCCCATGTTAATCTTATGGAGAAATATACAAAACTTTAAAGGGCCCCAGGGCCTCACTCTCTAGTTATTTTCCTAAAAAGAAAGTTTCCTGCACAACTTCACGTTACGCTCTTTCCAATGACACCAAAAACATGTCAATCGGTACAGTAGTTACGGAGGAGTAATTGTCACAAAAAACCTGCTTGCGTATTAAATAAGTATAGATATATAGATAATCAGAAACAAACATAACCTAGTAAATATCCAGGAAATAAAAATATTATTTGAAAAAATTGTTAATTTAACGTATTAAATCAAGACTACATATTAAAAACGAAAAGGTTAGATAGGAAATACTGAAATGTCATATTTGCTTTCTGTATTATTTTTTGTTTAGTTTCCTATTCACTGTCACTTTTTATGTCAATTATATTTCCTTCGTCCTTCTCGTCATCTACATCTCCAAATCCACAAAAATCGTCTTCATTGTTACTTGACAAGTCAATCTCATCCTCATCCCTTTTCAATCTCAAGGATGTCTTCATTTTCTTCCTGTCCTGTTTCCTCTGGGTTGTCTTCTGCTTGCTTACTCTCTCTTAGAGGTTGAGCATTTATGAGTTTCCAGTTATAACAAAGAAATGTCAGTTTTGCTGCTCGCTCAGATAAAAGTCTGTTTCTTTTCTTGGAATGCAATAATTAAAATCCATTCAGTTTCATAAATTAAAAAAAATTACAGGAATGTACATGGAATGACAACTCTTAGATTTAAATGTAAGAATTTTTACTATAGGTAACATAGTTTTAAGGTTCTTTAACCGTCAATATGTGTTAAAACGTTCAGAATTAAAAAAAATTATAAATTCCCAATTTTTGGGAATATTCCCAGTTTTGGGCCAAAGAAATATTCCCGGCAATATTCCCATTTTATAAGTTACCTCCCACTGGGAATATTCCCGGCCCACATCACTATGTATATGTTTTAAAATTCATATCATCACACATAAGAGAAAAGGGGTTTGGTTAATAATACTAAACAGTACTTTTAAGAATATATGTTTTACTGCCCACAATCGTGCTTAAATCTAGTACAAAGGTTGCATTACATGTTGTGAAACAAAACCAATTTCTTCAATCTCTGCCTTACACCTAACTTATTTTTGTTACATTAATTCATAATGTTCCTAGCATTGGAGAAACAAACAGTTTTGTAAAACAGTGTCCCTAAAAGTGTCATTCATGGGCGGCAGCCTGGTACCGGTATTGATATTTATCTTCTGCAAATAAATGAAATAGATGATCACATCCATAGAATAGTTAGTTGTATTCTTTAACTTATATAAACTATTTAAAGGTTAAAATTTATTTAGCTTTACCTTTACAATGATCGAGTAGCAAAAACATAAAGAGTTGCTGGACTGAGGAGGTTGGTGCGACATAAAATCAACTTCGTCGCGCTATTAATCACTAGGCCTATACTACAAACTTAATTGTAAATTGCTCGATCACATGTTAAAAAACATCTATTAAACTACAACTTTGTCGCTTACAGATTTCTTCTGGCCCAAAAATAAAATACTTCCTCGCATACTAACTTTTTCATGTCACAATGTAAAAATTGTTACTCTTTTTAACTATGGAAATTCTATTTCAAATCAAAATTAAAATTTATTTATACCATTACATTCTGCATTTAATGCAGATTACAAATATATAAAGATTATTGTACTTAATCTTTGTTGTTGAAGGCTAGGAGCGAGTTACCAACTGCGTGCACTATTCGATGAATTGGCTAAAATCCGCTGTGTCCCACATGGTGGTGCAGGAAGGCTGCCACAACGGCGCGCTTTCGTGAACACGTACCTAGCATTCCAGTTGTGTTATATACTTCGATGGTTCATACTTGTCAAATTGTTAAGGTTAAATCAAAACAAACAAACTGACCTAGGCATAGGCCTGTATTCATGGAAAATAGTTACTGTGCATTGAAAAATACAACTTACTTTATAAAATTATTCTACTTTTATGAAATAACTTGACCATTAGAGAATTACTTACTTACTCTTTGTCAGTGATCTTATCTCTAATGCCTGCCGCTACCTGTCTCAGTGACCTGTGGCTGACATGTCTGGAGGTATTGTGCCGATTGCAAACTATACGACTAGCCTTCTTGACATTGAAGAAAGAAATGTAAAAAAACAATGTTGTAGCTACCAAATAAACTTTCAGCTGTTTTGAGAAACAAAGGAAGAAAACCTATTATGCCACTGAAAAAACTGAAGTATCTGGTGTTTACAAACTTAATGGTGACAGCTGCCCGAGTTTTATATTGGACAAACCGCCCACTCATTTAAAATGAGATATATGGAACACCGATCCAAACCATCCATCAACAAACCCAATTCTGCTTTTGCCAATTATCTGATTAATAATAACCACGATATATCAAATATTGACAAAACCATCGATGTCCTACATTTTCATAAAAAAATATGTTTTCTAGATACTATTGAAGAATATGAGATTTTCAATGCTGGAATAATTAGTGTTTGTGTATGGCCATACTGTGTAATTTATTTGATAATATGTTTGTTTGTGTCTCGTGTATATGTTTTCAAGACTTTATAACGACCTCCTAAGAGCGACAACACGTCTTTAAGGCTTGACAATGACACCATGAGTGTCGAAAACAGGTCGCCATCCAGGCGACAGAGGATTACAGTGGCAACAATAAGGTATTTAACCTCTAGAATAATATTGTTAAGTAATCTGGAAGGCAACACCTAAAAAAAAAATATTAGTGTCTTGATTCCAAAAGACAATCTGTTGACTTTGGAAGTACCTTTATGGGTTGATATTCTTTTTAACACAAGCACTTTCTTCATCGTCACTTATGTGTAGGTAAGCTTTAAAGAGGTCGAATGTACAGAAAAACTTGGCGTCTCTCAGTTTGTGGAGTATTTTGTCAATCCTAGGAATCGTAGAGTTGACTGACTTTATAGTCTGCGCATACTAGCCTAAGTGTACCATCAGGCTTAGACACTACAACCAAGGGAAGGGTGAATCCCAGTTGCACGATTCAATTTTTAGAGATGGAACAACTTCTACAAGACCTATCAGGTGTCAGCTTACTTTGACGACATAAATGTCCACAGATCAAATTTGAATAATTGTTTCAAAAACCTTATAGCTTGTCTAAAAAGACTTCAAACCAACAATCTTTATCTCAACCGAAATAAATGCACATTGTTCCAAGAAAGCATCACATATGTCACAGGATATGTGATTAAAAACAAGAAGATATCTAAGTCTCCAGCAAAACCCCACATCGGAATGAGAGTAACTGTCAAAAACTGGACTATCAAGAGGAAAGGGATGTCACTTGAAGGTACCACTCATTAGTGATGAAGAAGTTTTGTTTGCATGTACAGCACTGTTTACAACCCAACCCACTTTATCAATTTTATGTGTAAAGAGGCTATGGGTAGCTCAATTAATTGAGGCCTAGCTGTTTACAATTTGTTCTGAGTTATTCCACCGTTAATATTATTGTTCTCTTTAATTGTACTTAAGTTACTGGTAGCTACTTAATCGTCACTCTTTCATATTTAGGGAGCGGATGTGAACTCAAGTCGGCATGAACATGGCTACAGTGCTTTGCACTTTGCTGTTCTCTCCGGAAACGCTGATGTCTGTCTCCTTTTACTTAAGGCTGGTGCCAAGAGCCATGCTACTAATTCTGTCGGGAAAACTCCTTCAGAAATGGCAGCTTTTGTTGGTAAACTTTTGTGTTACACTTAGTTTTAAAAGTTAGAATTAATGTGTAAACACCTGAGATCAAATTGAAAGACACCCAGCATAACCAACGAGCACATAATAAAAATAGAGGGGCTATTTATATTATTACCACTCTGCCCAGTGTCGCCAGTTCCGCCATATTGAATTGGTCAATGAGCTCGAACTGGGTCGCTGCAGTGAACAACATTTAATTGAACACGCACAGAATACACCGTGATCAAGAATTCTTAGAGTGCAGATCAAATTTTCAAACTTTGCACAGTTGAAGTTTAGGTCCTTCTTTCATGATCAGTACTATTTTAATTGTATCTGAAGTAGTTAAACTTTTATTTATATAACAATAACTAATGTTATGTTTTTATAATTGTGATGTGGAAAGCGAAAAGGGACCTCTTGTCGGCGATGCAAAAATTTCATTTCAGCCGATATAAGTAATAAGGTCGAAAGTATCGAAATTCGGGTTTTTATTGATTGTTACCTCATTTACCACAGAACAGGACAGTATCGGTTAAAATATCGAATTGAAGACGTAAAAGGTCGAAATAAATTATTTTGTTAGCCTCTGCAGGGTCTGAGAAAAGGTACCTCTTGTCGCTCAATGTTATTTCTCCATAAAGACAAGAGGTCCCATTTCTAATATTCACTTTTTATAAACAGACTTTAGTCCAAAAAATTAATTGTCCTGCATTCTAGAGGAAATTTAGAGAACTACAACAAAGTTCAGTGTACGGGGAACAAAATATCTCACAAATTTTGCTGTCCCGATAAGAGGTACCTTTTCTTATCTTGAGAAATAACATAGAGCCGACAAGAGGTTCCTTTTCTGAAATGTGATTTTTACGACATGCTTCAATAAAACAATGATTTAAATTAAAACTACCTGGAGTTAAGACAGATATTTGTTTTGCCTCCAAAGAGGACATTATAAGCTTTCTTTTGATACCAAAATTGTTTCTTAAATATTAAAAAAAAACTGTTTTATTTTGAAATTTTCAAAATAGTTTTTCTCAAAATGACCCTTTTCCGTAACAAAATTTCAAAGTCCTATAACTTTAACAAAAAAACTTGTAGATGCATGTGACTTGTACCAAGTGATTCAGAATTTAATAAGGAATTCAAATATATATATATAACTCAAAATCACAAATTCCCAACAAGAGGTGCCTATTTGCTTTCCACATCACAATTATAGATTTTGACACCAAAAAGTTACTCTGAGGAAGTTCTTTATTTTTGGTCAGGCAAGTTTTAAGGTTTATAAATGTCAAGGTCATTAAATGAGGCAATTTTTTCACTTGAAACCTTTTTTTGTGGGGGCCTTAGTTTGGGGGTTAGGCCGAGTTGAATAATGCTAAATATTTACTCATTTCTGCCACCGTGTGGTCCTCGATCAGGCATCCCTGGATATTTCTAACATGGCGACTTGAAAGTAGGATTGTATATTAAAAGAACAATTGATTGTTGGCTACAGGATTGTATATTGAAGAAGTTATATTGAAAACACTGCTATTAGCAAAATTTAGTTAAGTAAAGAACGTACAGTATTTCATATGATGTTAAACATTCAGGAAACAGAAAGCTTGAAACAAATTCAAAGTAGTACGTAATATGTCTGTTATACATTCCATATCAATTTCTAAAAGCTTATTCATATATTATAATTAATTTTTGATAAACTACCAAGTTAATCCAGGAAGTAAGGAACTTATAGTGTTAGCAAAACGGGAGTGCCGATGGAGACCTGTGGCGGTGCGTGCGTTTGGAGGGACTTGACCTGGTCTCCATCGGCACTCCCGTTTTGCTATCACTGTACATGGGAAGTGTAAATAATTATATTCTGGTTGTAGTTTTACAATAGTATATTTTAACACATAGCATTCTTTACTAATTTTTACTGACCAAGAAAGGTGATTGTTTTGTTAAGATGGATTCTGATTCTGCTTGTGTGGATCTGATCATTGAATTCCTTGCTAAAATGATGTAATCTTGCTGTAAAATATTTTTTGCATATATATTTGAGTAGTAAATTGTGGTTATTTTGGCCGGCTTCTTGTTGAAATCAGTGGTCACCAGAAAAAAGTGGCAGCCCTATAAACTGTGCCATAACAGTAGTGGTCATTTTCTTAAGTAGGCCTACATATTTTGTTGGGAATATTTCTGCCATCCATATTTATTTTTTCTTAAAAACTGACTCACGACATTTGTACACTTTTATGACAGCACCTGATGGTTCAATTTGCCCACCTCAATTCTTAGCAGAAATCAAGGCATCCACAGAGGATGAAGAATTTTTGACTAAAAGGTCACAACAGTCATTGTAAATTATTTGTTTTCTGATGGATCGTGCGACAAAGCCTGCAATGTATTGGATGATACCAGCAACGATGTCGGTTCCATTTGAACGTTTGAACGAAGTTCTCCTGAAAAAGGAATATGCTTTGGGAGAAAGAAAGTGCAAAGCTGCAAGCTTTTAGTCGGTCTTTATAGATTTTTTTAAAATTTCTTTTTCTTTTTTTCAATACACCTTTTTATATGGCAGGCTGAGGTTTTTGATAATGAACTTAAAAGAGAACAAGATTCCTCAGACATCCCTTTTCCCTCTCTCAATGCTTTAACAATGTTAGCCAGAGTGATGACCTTTTTCTCCAGCCTTCTTTTTTTTTGTAAGAGGTTTAATTTGGTTTTATACGACTTTAAGCGCGTTTGACTTTTAACTAACTCTGATTTCAATTTTTTGGTCGGAAACTGACTGTAGAACATATTCTGGCTTGACTCACCCTTATCAATTTTCCTTTTTAAAGAAGCCCGATCTACTGTACAGTAGGCTCTCGGTAATCCGGCAGATATAGGACCGTGATACTGCCGGATTAGTGAAAATGCCGGATTACTGGAATGTTATCAATAAAAACACTGCAACAAGTGCATTTTAGCACTTAAAACACGTCTCTGCTCCTCCGGGGATCGGGGAAACAAAAACCGCTATTGCCGCGATCGGGCATGACGACGATAACGTTTCCATGACTGCGGGAGGCGACGATAATGTCTAAATGTCCAAGGGAGATGATCAGACTTTTGCCGCGATCACAGAAGACAACGATAATGTCTAAACGGCCGCACAAGATGTTCATGATTTTGCCGCAATCGCGTAAGACAACGATGAAGTTTCCGTGACCGCAGCAGATATTCATGATTTTGCCGCTACCGCGAAAGCCGTGATCGTAGGAGTGGATGATGATGCCGACTCGGCCGTGGGAGATTTAATCAGAATTTTGCCACGATCGCAGAAGAACTCACCTGTCAAAAGACGCCGGATTACTGGAGTGCCAGAGTGGCGAAGTGCGGGATTAGAGAGGGTCTACTGTACTTGAAATAGCTGGGAAAATAGCGTGAACAGCTCCGTCCCTGAGTCTGACACACGATTTGATTGTTCTGTCAATGTCTATTTCACCCAAGGCGTATGAAAGAAGGTGTGTGCATAGTGACGTCAGTGCGAGCGAAACGTGTTTTATTTTACCAAATCATATGTTTTCTTATAATTTCCCAAAGACTTTCGAATGACAATCATTACGAATTAGCATTGAATATATAACACTATTTAGCGTTTTATATCCAGTATAGTGTTGTATACAATATTGAATATACTGTAGTAGTGTTATACAATATGGCAGTAGCCTAGAACATTTGATAGTAAGTACCATTTAATCGAAAATCAGTAAAGTAGTAGCAGTAAATACTTGATACGAATACTTTGATACTTGATATCCTTGCTCAAATCCATCTGTGGGTTCAAAAACAATCATTAGTGAATCGCGTACAGTAACGACGACAGATTTTAAATTAAAGTAATAATAATAATAATAATAATAATAATAATTAAAGTAGTTACGGTATGTCTATAATTTAATTAATTAATAATAATGTTTTCAATAAATTATTTACCTGATTTTATGTTTATCTTTTCTTGTCTTTTGCATGCTCCAATCCGTTTGTTTTGCAATCCAGATTTTTTCGGGAAATGATGAAACTTTACTCCAGAGCAACCACTTTTCTTGTTAGAATTACCACATCCAAAAACAGCGCAAATCGGCATTGCCAACTAATTACAACTTAATGTTGAGGAATCTTCAGTGGTCTGGCGTTTCCTGCATAACGTACAGCTCGGCTGTAGCATCAGCTGTGCATCGCACACTACGTCACATTTTGGCTGATTGGAGGGGTGGGGGATGCGCTTGCACACACCTTCTTTTATACGCCTTGCCGTCCCGGATCCAGGTCTTACCATGAATAGGCCTACTACGGTAGGCCTAATAGCTTATTCCCTATATGGGAAATTCAATAAAAGGCCACCAACCACTTAAAAACAAAAAAATATATATACTGTATAGCCATGTTTGATCGTTGCTTGCGATGTTGGCAACGCCATAATAATTAATTGCAGTCACGTTATTCGCGTCACACAATCGCCGCAACATCCGCGATAATCTCCTGCGATTATCTCAGCATCCATGACTTCAGGCCTATTTGTGATTGCGGCCATATCTCTGATCATATCTTAATCGTGGCGAGATTCGTCATGATTTTTCGTATGTATGTTGTTCGCGGCAACAGCCGTGATGATTTCTGGCGATTGCGGTGACATCCTGTATTCGTGATCGTTTGCTGCGGTCACAAATTTCCACTTCGCAAAACGAGAGAGGCTGTTCGGTAAGCTTCTTGTAAATTTTTGAAGTTATTAAGAAAAACCATAGTCCGAGGGGTTCCCTTACGGTTTAGTAGTTTAGTGCTTGGGTTTAGTGTATGTCATTAAAGTGTAATAAAATCGCTACAACATTTTGTTAAATATATGCTGTTTTTGTTAAATATATGTAAATACAATCTTGACAATTTGTTTGTAACGTTTTATTTTCCACTAAGGCTACTTAAATGAGAGATTTTCAATTATATAAAACATAAGTAGGAGCTGCAAAAAAGGTATTATAT